TTTTTTGACTGGATTATTTTCTTTGTTGTTGCTGAGTCTCATCAGCTCTTTGCAGATTTTTGTGATCAGTCCTTTATCATTAGTGTTGGGTGCAAAAATGTTCTCCCAGTTGGTGGGGTTTCTTGAAAAGAAGTTCTGTTTGAAGAAGTTCTGTTTCCTGAACTTCTAACTTCCTGGAACTCTTTGTGCAGAGCGAACAGGCATTCTCAAGACACTCTAGCTCCCTTTAGGGCAGCAGGCTGCCAAAATCTGTTCAACTGCGACCATTGCTGCATTTCCAATAAACCTGTTTCAGCTCTCCTAATGAATACCTCGATGCCACTTCCACAAATTTGCTACTCCTGCCCGTGTCACTGTGGGCTCCACATCTCTACTTCACAGTCTGAGATGTTAGGTGGCATCCTGACCCTTCTTTCTCACAACCCAGATGTTACATTAGGAAACACTCAAGTCCATCTCTAAATATATCCAGATCCAAACACTTCCTATTATTTTCCTGATCACACCCCATAAAGCTACCAAATTTTCCATCCTAGAATCTGTGCTAGTTTCCTACATTTATCTTCATTCACTTTCTCTCCACCTTTGTAAAATTATTGATGAGACAATATAAGTTACAGGTTCACTGGCTGGAAAGACAGAGTCACCTCTTAGGTCACCCCTGGTGTTTACACATGAGGTTGGTTCCTCTTTGTCTCTCAGCATGACCATCCCTCAGCAGGGGGATGTGGAGTTTCAAATGTTACCATTGCTATCTCCTGGCTGAATGTAGATTATTTTCCCTCATTAAAAATAATTAGTAATTGGGCAATAATCTGCTCAGCCTTTGTAACCTCTCCATGGAATAACTTTTCATTTTTACCATTTCCTGCTGTCTGCTGTGCTTTTCTTCTGTCACTTTCTTCACATAACTATGGACCCTTCCCTTCAAAGGAAGAAAAATTTTTAAATGAGCCTCCAATTCTATCCCAATGTAAAATATTGTCCACAGTTGTAGTCAAAGAAGAGGTGAAGGTGTATATGGTGAGCTGAAGCATTTAATAAATGGTCTTAAGATTTGAAGATATGAACATCACCATCATGAATGGAAACTGTCCAGATATTGACCAAGATGTACAACCTAAATAAACCAGCTTGTGGGCCATACACTAATAATGAGTTGAATCTACCCATTGGAAACTCTCATATGTTGCCATATAATTTGCTGTATCCTCTCAGCTCCAGCAGGCGCAGTGAGATGGTGGTAATACTTAATCCATGGTAATGAGGTAACAGTAGACAATTTCTTGCAAGACTTGATTCTTTAAAATTTGTGGGTGTTCAAAATATATCAGACAACTGTTGTCCTCTCTGAAAACAGACATGAGAGAAAACACATACGTAGTGGGAGACTTCAACACACCACTATCAACAATGGATAGATCAACAAGACAAAAAATAAGTAAAGAAACTAAAGCTCTAAATAAAGACCTAGAGCATTTGGGCTTAACAAACATCTATAGAACACTAAACCCCAAAAAAACGGAGTACACATTTTTCTCAAGCGCACACGGATCATTCTCCAGGATGGATCACATACTGGGGCACAAGACAAACATCAACAGATACACCAAGATTGAAATCATACCAACCATCTTTTCTGACCATGAAGGCATCAAACTAGAAATAAACCATAAAAAGAAGGCAAGGAACTTTCCTACCTCATGGAGATTAAAAACCACACTACTGGAAGACCACTGGACTAAAGAGGAGATCAAAGAAGAAATTAAAAAATTCTTTGAATTGAATGACAAGGAGGACACCAATATCCTAAATGTATGGGATGCAGCAAAAGCAGTAATAAGAGGAAAATATATAGCAATAGAAGTTCACATCAAGAAACAAGAAAGAACTCAAAGAAACAACCTAATCTCGAAGCTCAAAGACCTAGAAAAAGAACAACAAAAAAACCCCAAAACCAGTAGAAGAAAAGAAATAATAAAAACCAAAGCAGAAATAAATGAAAATGAAACTAAAAAAACAATCCAAAAGATCAATGAAACCAAGAGCTGGTCCTTTGAAAAAATCAATAAAATAGACAAACCCCTAGCCAGGCTCACAAAGGAAAAAAGGGAGAAAGCACAAATAAACAGGATCATCAATGAAAGAGGAGAAATCACAACGGACACAGCAGAAATCAAAAGAATAATCAGTAACTACTATGAACAGTTATATGGAAACAAGTTCAACAATCTAGAGGAGATGGACAAATTCCTACAACTCTACAATCACCCAAAGCTAGATAAAGAAGAAATAGAACACCTAAACAGACCAATTACAATTAGCGAAATTGAAATGGTAATCAAAAACCTCCCCAAAAACAAAAGCCCAGGACCTGATGGATTTACAAATGAATTCTATCAAACATTCAGAGATGAATTAGTGCCTATCCTTCACAAACTCTTCCAAAAAATCGAGAAGGAAGGGACAATACCAAACACGTTCTATGAAGCCAACATTACACTAATACCAAAACCTAACAAGGACAACACAAAAAAGGAAAACTACAGGCCAATCTCCCTAATGAACACTGATGCAAAAATCCTCAATAAAATTTTAGCTATCAGAATCCAACAATGTATCCATAAGATAATTCACCACGACCAAGTAGGCTTCATTCCAGGGACACAAGGATGGTTCAACATCCGAAAATCAATCAACGTTATCCAACACATCAACAAAAAGAAATATAAAAACCATATGATAATATCAATAGATGCTGAGAAAGGTTTCGACAAAGTACAACACCCATTCATGATAAAAGCCCTTGAAATTCTTACAAGGAACTTACCTCAATATCATAAAGGCCATCTACGACAAGCCAACAGCCAGTATCATCGTCAATGGTGAAAAGCTGAAAGCAATTCCATTAAGATCTGGAACAAGACAAGGATGTCCACTCTCACCACTGCTTTTCAATATAATACTGGAAGTCCTAGCCAGAGCAATAAGACAAGAGAAAGACATACAAGGAATCCAAATAGGAAAAGAAGAAGTCAAACTATCACTATTTGCAGATGATATGATAATATACATAGAGAACCCCAAAAATCCACAGAAAAACTAAGTCAACTCATCAATCAGTTCAGTAAAGTGGCAGGATACAAAATCAACACGCAAAAGTCAGTAGCCTTCCTACACACAAACAATAAATCTGAAGAAGAAATAAAAAAAAAATCCCTTTTATTATCAAAACAAAAAAAAATCAAATATTTGGGAATAAATCTAACAAAAGAGGTAAAGGACCTATACAAAGAAAACTATAAAACACTGTTAAAAGAAATAGAAGAAGACACAAAGAAATGGAAAGACATCCCCTGCTCATGGATTGGAAGAATAAACATTATTAAAATGGCCATCCTACCAAAAGCATATACAGATTCAATGCTATTCCAATCAAAATTTCAATGTCATTCTTCAAAGAAATAGAATAATTATTGATGAAATTCATATGGAATCACAAAAAACCCCGAATAGCCAAAGCTCTCCTGAAAAAAAAAAAAGAAGGGAATGGAGGCATCACACTCCCAGACTTCAAACTATACTACAAAGCCATAATCATCAAAACTGCATGGTATTGGAACAAGAACAGACATACAGACCAATGGAATCTAATAGAAAATCCAGAAATAAACCCACAGATTTATGGTCAACAAAGGAGCAAAGACTATGCATTGGAGCAAAGAAAGTTTGTTCAATAAATGGTGCTGGGAAAACTGGGTCGCTACATGCAAAAGAATGAAGCTTGACCACTACCTCACACCATACACAAAAATCAACTCAAAATGGATTAAAGAACTAGATATAAGACCTGAAACCATAAAATACATAGAAGGAAATAAAGGCGAAACACTACGTGATTTGCACATCAAAGACATCTTTACAGACACATCACCCAAAGCAGTGATAGTGAAGGCAAAGATCAATAGCTGGGACTACATCAAATGAAAGAGCTTCTGCACAGCAAAAGAGACAATAACAAAAACAAAGAGAAACCCCACCAACTGGGAGAACATTTTTGCACCCAACACTAATGATAAAGGACTGATTACAAAAATCTGCAAAGAGCTGATGAGACTTAACAACAACAAAGAAAATAATCCAATCAAAAAGTGGGCAGAAGAGCTAAAAAGAAACTTCTCTGAAGAGGAAATGCAAATGGCCAACAGGCATATGAAAAAATGTTCAACATCACTGGTAATCAGGGAAATGCAAATCAAAACTACCATGAGATACCATCTTACACCAGTGAGAATGGCACATATTAAAAAAACTAGCAACAACAAATGTTGGCGAGGATGTGGAGAAAAAGGAACTCTCCTGCACTGCTGGTGGGAGTGCAAACTGGTCCAACCACTGTGGAGAGCTGTGTGGAGATTTCTGGACCTACTAAACATAGAACTTCCATATGATCCAGCAATTCCACTCCTAGGTATTTACCCAAAGGACACAGAAACATCAATTCCAAAGAACACCTGCACCCCTATGTTTATAGCAGCTCTCTTTACAATAGCTAAGCTTTGGAAACAGCCCAAATGCCCAAAAATAGATGACTGGATCAAGAAGATGTGGTACATATATACCATGGAATATTACTCAGCATTCAAAAAAGATAAACACATGCAATTTGCAGCAACATGGATGGCGCTGGAAGGGATTATGCTCAGCGAAATAAGCCAGAAAGAAACAGAAAAATACCGGATGGTCTCACTCATAGCAGGAATCTAGATAACTTAAATAAGGGACCAGGAAAATGAATAACTATAAGAAAGTGAAAATCAAAATCAACAAAAAACTATGAACCAGAGACACTTTTTGGGGGTGGGGGGGAGGGGAGGGATTGGGGTCAGAATGGGGGGGTTGCAATTTTATGGGGAATATAAAAATAAAATTTATTATTTAAGGTAAAAAAAGACCAAAAAATAAATAAATATTTGATACACTAAAAAAAAAAAAAAAAAAAAATAGTTCTCCATTCTGAAGTATAGCTCTCTGTAGGATTTTGTTGTGTTTCCTATAGCTAGAGTTACTAAACAAAATAAATGACATCTTAGGAAAAAAAAAAATTAAGGATATGTGCCTGATGGTCTCCATTTCTCTCCCTCGGGATTATTAATGATTCAATGATGTAATAATTTCTCCCACCTTACTAACCATATCTTTCTCTTGAATCAGAATTAAGCCAATGAAGTAGGGCACTAATGTCTTCTTCTAACATGCAAAAAGCATCTGTAAGGAAAATAAAAACTTTTTCACATTAAAAAAAAAATTTGTGGGTGTTGGGCCTCTCCGGTAGCCTAGGGGTTAAGTCTCAGCACTACCACCCAGAAGGTCCACTACAAGAGCCTGAGTGGATCCTCAGCCAGGGAGCTACACCACATGGTGCAGCAGACCTCTCCTGTCTTGCCTACTACTCCCCTTAGCAGTATATTTCAGTATATCCGCCTGTTCTGCACCCCACTGTTTCTGGTGAATTCTCTCATATCCCACACCACTGGCCTACACCCCAGTTCTTCTACACAAAAGTTAAAAATGAACTTTTAAAAAATTGTGGAAGGGGCCTCCCTGGTAGTGCAGCGGTTGAGAGCTGGGCTGCGAAGCTGCCCACAGCCCCTGCAGTGCCAGTTCGATCCCCAGCCACCAACAAGGGTCCCACATGGCGCGCAGACCTCTCCTGCTGCCCGCTGCCTCCCTCAGCAGTGTACTTCGGTCCTTCTGCCTGTCCTGCTCCCCGCTCTGGCTCTGGTGAATTCTCTCACCCTCCCACGCTTCTGACTGTACCCAGTGCTTGTATAAATAAATAAATAAATCTAGAAAAAAAAATTGTGGATGTTTCATTAGGGAATTATAAAGAATAATTCAGTGTTGCAAAGAGAAAATAAAGGATAAAAGCACCAAGATTTGTTACTATCAGGAGAATAATAATTTGTCAGAAGATGTCACCTTCTGGCCATGTGGTGGATATATAAGTGCTGTAAAAAAGTCATAATCTGCAGCATCAAGTACAAGATCCATCTCAGACCCAGGAAACAGCAAATGCTGGGGATATCCAGAGGTCATGTAGGTGCAACAAGACACAACGGGGGACTCAGTCAGCAGGAGTCAGTCTTTGTTGTCAAATGAGTCTGATGCCAAACTAGAAAGGGTCAGTCCACCACCCAGTGCTGACAGGCCAGGAAGCCTGGGCTGGTCTGCAGCCCTGGTCAGCAATAGGCACAGCCTGGCGGGGCTCAAGGGTTAGTTTTGAAGTTTGGCTTAATCTTGCCCCCTCGTCTGCTTTCTCTACGTCCATATATAAATATTTTTATTTTTCCTTTTGACTTATCCCTCCTCCATTCACGTTGTCGCAGTGTTTTCTGACCGTGGATGCTATTTCATTATGCAGGTACATATATCACCTGTATATGTACACATATGTATACATATAATCACAGCTTCTTCTTGATTTGACACCTGTTTGGAGGTATTTAGGTGGTGTCCACAGCTTGGCTACTGTAAACAGTGCTGCAGTGGTGACGGGAGTGCAGGTCCCTTCACAGGAGAGTATTTATCCTCTGTAAGTAGATCCTCAGTGCGGAATTGCTGGGTCCAATGGCAGAACCACATTTACTCTTTTAAGAAACCTCAACACTGTGTCCATAAGGGCTGGCTCAGTCTATATCCAAAAACAATGCAGGACTGTCCCCTTTTTTCACATCCTTGCCAGCACTGGTTGTTTCCGATCTTTTGGAAACAATGGGCCATTCTCACAGGTGTGAAGTGGTTTAAACCAGGGGATCATAAAGCCACAAAATGTGGGGACAAAGGAATCCTGTAACACTCAGACCAACACAAGGCTGTCTCACATCATGAAAGAAAATAATTATGAAGAAATTCAGGTGAATACCCTGAGTGTTAACATTATCAATAGACCACTGCATTCTCAAGATGTCCTGAAATCATCCCCATAATCCAGGGCCAGACTCTCTGCCTCAACCTCCACCCCACTGGAGTCCTCCAGGGTCTCACCTTTAGGGCCTACATACACTTCATAGCCCTTGGAACTGCTGCTTCCCAGGGGAGAACACAACAAAACCTGGTTAGAGATGAGACCACAGGAGGAAATGATGAGGGTGACACCCCCATGGGCTCCATCTACACTGTCCCCAGGGGCTCAGGGATCAAACCCCTGATCCACACTAACCTGGAGCCTGAGTGCTAACAGGAGCCTTGTCAACCTGTGGAAAGCAAGCAATAGGAGCCTTGTCCACCTGTGGGAAGAAACATCATGTGAGACCAAGGAAGGGTCAGGTCAGGAGTCCTAAATATCTTCTAATCCTGCAGAACAGGGAAGTTTCCAAAACTGTGACTAAAGACCCAGGTGAGGGCTGGGAAAAACGAAGAAAGGAGGTAAGGGAGGACTGGACCAAATGCCCCCTGGGCAACACCAGTGTGTGGATGGTACTTCCCATTAACCAGGTAGGGCAAGTTCCTCCTGACTTGAAAACCTCCAGTGGACAAGATCCCCCATTCCCTTCCCTACCTGAGCGCTTCTTCCTCCACATCACAGCTGCAGCCACTGCAGCTCCAGTGAGCACAGCTCCAAGGAGAACCAGGCCAGCAATGATGCCCCCCGTAGGGATGGAGGACTCAGGAAGGGGCACTGGAAGGGAAGGGAAGGTGAGACCCTGAGCCCCAGGCCTCATCCTGACCCTCTGAAGGTCTCCAGAAGGGCTCATGATTCCCTAGGAGGCTCTGTGGCCACATTCCCCCAACTCACCCCATCTCAGAACTCGGGGCTCCAGCAGCCCCTCATGCTGCACATGGCACGTGTAACTCTGCTCCTCTCCAGAAGGCACCATCACAGCCGCCCACTTCTGGAAGGTTCCATCCCCCCCAGGCCTGGTGTCCACCAGCTCCATGTCCTGGGTTAGGTTCTCCCCATCTCGCTGCCAGGTCAGGGTGATCTCCGCAGGGTAGAAGCCCAGGGCCCAGCACTTCAGGGTGACCTCATGGTCAGAGGTGAGGTTGAGGGTCACCTCTGTGTTTGGGGGATCTGAGAAGGGTCAGAAAATTCACACTTTGGGTTTTTCCTTCCTGGACACTGAAACAGCCTCACTGACCATCCTCAGAATGGACATGACAATTGTTTTGGAGGAAGGAAGCATAAAGCCCAGAAACCAGCCTAGTCTGCAGAATCTGGGATAATCGGGTGAGAGCCCAGGGTGGGAGGATGCAGGTCTCTAAAGAGAACACAGACTTTTGCTCCTGACCTGGGTGGAGGGTGAATGGCACAGAAAGGCAGGAGTCAGATCCAGAAATGTTCTCAGACCAAAAACAAGACCTTGGAAGAGAAACTAATTGTTCCCAGGATGGGTGCCGGGTCACTAAGATCCAGGGAGAGTTATTTCAGGATGGCCTCCCCTCCCTCAGGAGAGACTGGATTCCTTAACCGTCCAGAAAAGTGGTGTCTTCTGGGCGAGTCTCTCTCCAGCACAGAACATGAAACCCAGGGGACTCTCCCTCTCTGCCCAGAAAGCAGGTGCTGTTCTGCCCATTATTCCATGTTCCCTGTGGGGCGCCAGGAGAGGGGAGGTCCGAGGCCTTGTGGCCCCTCCTACCTGTGCCCTGCAGCACCTCCTTCCCCGACTCCAGGAATCTGCGGATCCACATCAAGCACCTGCTCTGCACACAGCCCCTGACGCGCTCAGCCCTCCCCTGCGCCTCCCACGCGCGCTGGGTGATCTGAGCCACCGGGTCCGCGGGGGTCCAGGAGCGCAGGTCCTCGCTCAGGGAGATGAAATCCGCGCCGTCGTAGGCGAACTTTTCATAACCGCCAAGGAGGTTCCCGTGGGGCCCCACTTCACAGCCAAACATGCTCTGGAGGGTGTGAGACCCTGAGCCCCGCCCAGCAGTCAGCCCTGAGGTCACCAGGAAGTCACCCCGCCCTCTCACCCTGAATAAACCTAAACTGAAAATGAAGGGCCGGCAGGACAGTCCCTTCCCGGGGGAGGGACCTGGCAGATCCACCAGCCTCGAGGGGTCAGTGGACCCTGAGACTCGGGACACCCCGGCCTCATGATGGGAATGGGGGTGACCTGACCCTGGCCCCGCTCCGCGAAGCTCACCGTCCTCGCTCTGGTTGTAGCGGCCGGGCAGGTCCCTCAGGAGCGCTTCGAACCACTGCGCGTTGTTCCTTTGGATCCGAGTCTCCTGGTCCAGGTCCTCCTGCCCCACCTGCCCCGCCCAGGGCGCCCGCAGCTCCGCACTCTGGCCCGGAGAGTCGCTGTCGAACCTCCCGAACTGCGTGTCGTCCACGTAGCCCACCGCGATGAAGCGGGGCTCCCTGGGCCCCGGCCGGGACATCGCGGTGGAGAAATACCTCAGGGAGTGGGAGCCTGGGGGAGGGAGGGGAGACCCGGGCTGACCCTCCTCTCAGCGCGGGCCCAGGGCCCAGGGAGATGGGCCTGGAGGGGAGGAAGGGGTGGGGCCGTGAGAGTGAAAAGGGGGGTGGGCCAAGAAGGGCCCAGACTCAGGGGACCAGAGCACTCAGGGGAGGCGGGAGGGACAGAAGGGGCCAGAACACAAGGGGCCTGAAGGGGAACAAGAGGTTGGGGGGAGATGAGCCTTTCCTGGGGTCCTGCACCCGCAGAGGGCTCCTTGCTCCTCCCTCCTGGAGCAACAGTGTCCAGATGGACACGCACTCACCCGCCCGGGTCTCCATCAGGGCCAGGGGTCCCCAGAGCAGCAGCAGGAGGGTGAGGGGCATCACACTCCCGTCCAGGGGCCTGGGGAGAAGGAGTCCAGGAGAGTCCTTGGAGACTTTGTAACTGGAGCAGGATGATGCTGATTGTCTTCCCTGGAAAGCCCCAGAAAATGGGGAGAGAGAATGGGGGTGAGTGTGGGGTCATCAAGGCTGCACCACCCCACAGAGCCTGTGAGAGGGAGACATGATGCTGTGACAGTGTGACATCCACAGAAAGGGGGGAAAAGCAGCCTGGAGGAATGAAGAAACTAGATAATTGTGATTATTCCACTTTGATACTGAATTAAAACTATACAGGTGGTAGTTTCTCCAAGGTTATTTGCAAAGTGAAATCTGAAATAATACCTGGAATATTTCTTATTCTGTTATCCAGCCTTTTTCTTGCTCAGGTAGAGCTCCCCGTCTCTGACTCCTTATCTTTTAGGTGCCTTCCTACATCACAGGTCCTCTTGACAGTCTCCTTCCCTTGCTCTGGAGACCAGATTTCCTCTCCTTGGTTAAATATTCTTGTTATATCTGCCTTAACTTTAAGACTCCTGAGGGACTAAGACAACTCCAGGCAGCTATTTTAGATCCTACAGTGTCAGATAGGCCTGTGGTCCTACATTGTAAATCATCTTATTAAATGCCAAAAGGTTTCCTTGTTAACTGGTAATAAGATCAAGCATACGTGGGCCAAGTACAAGCTATCTTTCTTAAATCATTTCTAAATAGAAAAAGAGCCCGAGACAGCCGCCCTTTCCACCCAGAGAGAAAGAATGGCAGGGACAGATAGGAAGTGGAGGCCTAGAGATGCTCAGGCCTAGGGGAGTTCCTCTTCAATGTGGGGATGCCCACAAAAATAGGACTAATCCCCTGGGGAGTATGCCCGTGGCTACTCCCCACCCCGCTGCTCCCACTGTAATCTGTCTGGACAGGTTCAAGCTCTCAGGCACTCATACATGCTGGGGTCTGCTACCTCCATTCCCGTGCACTCTACTCTGGGTTCTCTCTTAAAAGACCTTAATTCAGCCTGACATCTTTACATATTAACCCAAAAGGCATAACTACCCTCAGCTATAACAGCATTCTCTACACCTTCGCTTAGGATGAAACAAAAGATAAAAAAGCTGGAAAATGAAATGGGGAACACCACCCTGGCTGACACATGTGGGGTGCCCCATTCAGCTAGCAGCTGCCTGGACCTTTGCTCCAGTGCTGAGATCATTGGTATGTCCACCACCACCCAGCCTTGGGGACTAGGTTTCTCCTGTTCATCCTGATATCTCTTCTGGCCTGTTTCATAGGAAGAAATTTTTATTTCTGCCATGCCTTCCACTTTTGAGATCTGTTTGGCCTGTTTAAAAAAAAAAAAAAAACTGTCAAATTACTTTGGTCTTCGTAACAGGATATGTAGGATACTTTTTTTTTAAAGATTTATTTATTCATGTATACAAGACCTGGGGTATAGGCCAGAGGTGCGGCGGGTGGGGGGGCGAGAGGATTCACCAGAGACAGAGTGCAGAACAGAACAGGCAGACTGACTGAAGTACACTGCCGAGAGGAGCAGCGGGAGAGTTAGGAGAGGTCTGCTGCGCCAAGTGGGTAGCTCCCTGGCTGGGGATCGAACTCATGCTGCACTAGCTGCGGATAGCTTCACAGGTTGCATCTTAACCCCTTGCGCCACCAGGGAGGCCCTATGTAGGTTACTTTATTGGTTAATCTATTGCCTCTCTTGTCCTCAAGGTTTGTAAAAAGATGTTCTTTTGTCTTAAGGAAACTGGTTCCCTGCTCGGCTTGGACAAAAACAGAAACTTAAACAATCCCAGTTTTTTTTTCTGCTTATCTTTAAAATTGTTGTCTTCACTTCTAGCTTTGATGTAATGGTTAAAATTGGATACTTTTCCTATGTAAGGATTTTAACTTCTGTCTCATTGGAATCCTTGGTTTATCAAAATGTGTATCAAAAGCATAGCTAAATGGGCCTCCCCGGTGGCGCAGCGGTTGAGCGCTGGGTTGCAAAGCTGCCCGCAGCCTCTGCAGCGCTGGTTCGATCCCCGGCCACCGGAGGAGGGTCCCACACGGCGCACAGACCTCTCCTGCCACACGCTGCTCCCCTCAGCAGTGTACTTCAGTCCTTCTGCCTGCTCTGCTCCCCGCTCTGGCTCTGGAGAATTCTCTCACCCTCCTGCGCTTCTAACTGTACCCAGTGCTTGTATAAACCAATCAATCAATCAATCAATCAATCTTGTATAAATAAATAAATCTTTAAAAAAAAAGCATAGCTAAATGGGTATATCAAACTAAAACCTAAGTTATTTCAAAATTAGATTGTTTAAGGTGTTCTAAGCCTCTCCTGAGATTTAAAAAGAATTTTGTTGCTGACATTAAAGAAATAATGTGAATTCTGTTTACAGCTTCTGTAAAGCCAAAAAGCCACTCTTAAAAATGCAAATTTAAAGTGTTTCATTTAAGAGAATTGCTAAATAACTAAAATTAAGTCAATAATGGGCTTATCAGTGTCTTCACAAATATTGGTAAAATAACTATCTCTTAAAATTGGTACACATGGCCGAAATTTTAAGTACAAATCAAGAGAGATCCCCTCTTGTTTTACCTCTGGAGGGTTTATTATAAACTGGCATTTATATAAATTCTGACAAAAACATATTTTGAGATTGTGATCTAAGATTTTTGGTATACTAGTCAAAAATTTAATGATTCAAAACATGCCTTAAAGTTATAATGTTGTGGGGCCTCCTAGGTGGCTGAAGGGGTTAAGACGCAACCTATAAAGCTGTCCACAGCCACTGCAGTTCAATCCCGGCCAGGGAGCTGGCCAGGGAGCTACCCACATGGCACAGCAGATCTCTCCTGACTAGCCCGTTGCTCACCGTTGCTCTGCTCCCCTCAGCAGCGTTTATTAGTCAATCTGCCTGTTCTGTTCTCCACTCTGTCTCTGCATTCTCTTACCTCCCCCCCCTCTGGCCTGTACCCCAGTTCTTACATGCATAAAAAAATAAATCTTGAAAAAAAGTTATAATGTTGTGTATTAATACTTTGTCTAAATGTTGATTACTAAACAAAGCTCATGGTATTCAGATAAAAAAGAAAATAAATCTGGTTTGCTTTCAATGTCTATACCTAGACATTTCTTAACCAAATTCTCTTCCAGGAACACAAATTGGCTTATCTCTTTGGAAGGAACTTTTGGTTTTCCTCAAAGAAAGTGTCTTAACTTTCTTCCTCTTGGTCCTAGCCAAAATCCAGATGACATCTAAGCAAGGTGAACAAATTACTCATTTGTACTGAGTCACATTAAATCTCTGATTTTTCTTGCTTTTACCATCCCGGTAATGTGTGTTTGATTATTTGCCAGCCTGGAAAAACTGTGGTATGTGTAATTGTTCCATTAACAGCCCTGCAATATGGAATTCCAGTCCTACAAAAAAAAAAACCCCAAAAAACCCCTAAAACTACAACTGGTAACTCAATCTTAAATCTGTCCTTTTCATTGTCTGCCAAAAAACTAATAATAACTTGTTAAATATCTAAAATTACTTTCCAGGCCTCCCCAGTGGCACAGCGGTTGAGCTCTGGGTTGCAAAGCTGCCTGCAGCCTCTGCAGCGCCGGTTTGATTCCCGGCTGCTCCCCGGCCACCGGAGGAGGGTCCCACATGGCGCGCAGACCTCTCCTGCCGCCCGCTGCTCCCCTCAGCAGTGTACTTCGGTCCTTCTGCCTGCTCTGCTCCCCGCTCTGGCTTTGGTGAATTCTCTCACCCTCCCGCACTTCTGACTGTACCCAGTGCTTGTATAAATAAATAAAAATAAATCTTTAAAAAAATAATAAAATAAAATAAAATTACTTTCCCTATTGTAACAAACAAATTTGAAGTCTACTTTTTGCTCCTTATTATAAGGGAACTAAAATTTAATGTCATCTCCAAAAAAAATAAAAGATGTGTTTGTGTAAGTTGTCTAAAGAGACGATAGTATAACAGCTATTGCAATGTCTTACAATGTAGTGGTTCAAAACTAGGATGTAGTAACTCTAAATGCAAGTTAGATAAGGTGTGTGTGGGTTTGGAAAAAAATGTATTGAAGGTGGATATTCTGAACGTCCTTAAGATAATTTAACGTAGGAAGGGTAAATGAAATGGTATTAAAAAGAAAGAAAGCAGAGGAAAGTGTTGAAGGTCTGAGAGAGAGATTTTGGTAAAAAATTTTGTGTGCTCAGGTGAATTACTATGAAAGGTTTTGTTAACTTGGGTATCAGTAGCGCACCCATGTAACACCAAGCTTTAGTCCTTTTTTTATATAAAAATTAAGGTATTCTAAAACTGCTTTCATTAGTTTCTTATAACAAATTAAAGACTGTTTAGGTAATGTAAAAATCTTGGTGCTCTTCCACCCTCAGGTTACCTGAAAAAAACCCTTATCATGTCAGCATTGCTGAGCCTTGTCAAAGCAATAGATCTACTCTTAAAAATCCTTGAGTAATTAAGTGTTTTGTAAAGATCTGTAAGTTTGTTCTATAAATTTCATTCTGAAATAGTAAAGTTTTTGTCTTAAGAGGGCTCTTAAGACACCTAATAAAATTGTTTTTCATTGTGAAAAAAAACTTGAGACAATTTGGGTATACTGATACCTCATAATAAGTATTCTCAAAGGGTTGTTACACTTTTTCAACATGAATATAAACTAATGAGATTATTCTAAATACATAAGATTTTTTTTAAAGATTCATTTATGCATACAAGAACTGGGGTACGGGCAGTGAGAGTATTCACCAGAGACAGAGTGGGGAACAGAACAGGCAGATCAACAGAAACGCACTGCTGAGGGGAGCAGCGGGCGAGGCAGGAGAGGTCTGCTGCGCCGTGTGGATTGCTCCCTGGCCAGCCGAGGATCGAACTCTTGCTGCAGAGGCTGCAGATAGATTCACAGTGCTGTGCTTAACCCCTTGCGCCACCAGGGAGGCCCTAAAATACATAAGACTTCTTAAACCCTAGTAAGCCAGTCAATTATAAAAGGACTGAGAAAAGTTATTCAAAAGCCCAA